AGCGAGGTACTGTACTGACCGAATGTTTGTATTTGGCAGCATCTCGAATAAGTTGTTGGTCCCAACTGTTCAACAGCTGTAGTGCTTCTTGTGGCTCGGATGAATCACACGCTTTAAACAGCTGCTTCCCATCATCAGTCATGGCAAAGGTCTCTCTCTCTCTCTCTCTCTCTCTCTCTCTCTCTCTTTCTCTCAACATCCGCTTTATGCTTCTTCTAGATGGAAGTCCATCACCAATCTCATGAGCCCCCAACTTGTTTGTCAACCCAATGTCGCTCAAAACGGCAGCTGGTCAGCGGGCGTTGCCCCCCCTCCTCCCTCCTCTCTTCCGCGCCAAGCGACTTACCTGGCCAACAATTTTGGAAGACAGTTGCGAGGACAGATATACTTGGTAGCATAAGACCACGCTGTCGACTGTGAGGCGAGATCAGTGGCCTTGCAAAAAAAATAAAAAGCGGCAACGATGCTCTCAACCAAAGCGTTCTGGCGTCGCCACAAGACCTCGACCAGGAGAGTCACGTACCAAGCACGGGCGATCAACCACCACACACAAAGCAAAACACGTCCAACAGCTCGCTGACGCCAATGTCGAGATTAATGTCGAAGAGAGCAACAAGAAGGAAAAGCGAAAGAGGGAAGATGAAAATGCCACACACGCATGCGATTCTCAACATCCTTGTTCTTTTTTTTTTGTGTCGTGTCTAAAAATAGCCGAACTGTTCATACGAGCAAAATTTCATGTAAATTTGAAATAGGGGCCTGTGCACATGCGCACGCATTATACCCTTCGCCTGCCATGGCAAATCAAGACATTCCAAGCTCGTTGGCGACCCGATTCAACCCCTCCCGCCATATCAATCTTATCCGCCCTGGTGTTCTCTTATACTACCTTATCCTGTTCCTTAAAATGTCCTCAGGACCCAGTGATAAGCGTCACCGCAAGGGCAGCCAAGAGATTCAGCACAATAACCACCGCCACGAGGATGTCGAGCTGTATCAAAATTGCTCCGTTTCGCGCAAGGAGAAACGTATCAACCGCGAGCACATAAAGGACAAGAAGAAGTACGAGAAACACCATTATAGTGAGCGTGCCTCACACTCAACCCGCCACCTCTTTCTGAAATGTCCAACTGGCTGGCAAGGGTGATGAGCATGATTACGTGGCTTGCATGGTGCTCAAAGCAGCAGCTGTTCCGACGGAAAAGGTTTCCGGCTTCGAATTGTGCATCATTGCTGCTGCTGATGCTAGGCATGCTGAACAAGTGTGCAAGTGTGCGCAGTGCCTTGCTAAACCACCCCCACCCCCGCCACACCTCGCGCTAGATCATGCCGCTGCTTTAAAGTATGGTGACAAGGTTGATGAGTGCCGTCTCAAGGGGTCGCTCAAGGTCTCGGATATTGTTGCCGTGGAGGATCTGGGCAACAATGTCTTTGGCCGTCCTTACGTCCAGTCGCAAGACAACAACTTTTTTTTATTGTCAAGCCCACAACCTCGATGAGCACACCATCTGGTTGGAAAACATGCATCGCACGATCAAAAACAACCACAACCTCCTTGGTGCTTGGTGTGCTTGGTGCCGTGCACCAGGGGCGTTAGGATGGGCGTTGGCTCTGCTGCGAAAACGCCAGCGTCAGTCACAGGGGCTGCCAACCTGCTGACTACAGGTCAGCTTTTGCTCGACTCGCG